CTTGTACACGGATTGCTAGTCATATCGAGTGATGGACATGGATCTCCGAGTAATGATTTTAGTGTTAATGCTGCACCTTCTGCTAATGATTTCAAACAATATCCCCCCTTAAATACCCATGTTAGTACACATATTTTTGAATTTCTTGATATAAAAGTAAAATATACCTCAAGTAAAACAGCAACTCTTCCACACGCAAAACCCATAAGTGAATGAACTAAATGAGCATAGCATGCAGGTGTAACTTCCATTTCTCCCTAAATACAGATAATGTTACACTTAAGTGTTTAATATAAATCATGATATTATGATGATAATTACCTCTGGACATCCTAGAGCAGCATCATAACCAGATGATATTAATATAAGATCTGGTTGAAACTAAAATAAGCATTGTTGTAATCAGATTTAAAAGAACACAGAAAATATCAATGTGACTTACTTCTGAAGCGACAGGCAATAAAATTTGATGAAAAATAGCAAGGTAATCAGTGTCTCTCATGCCAGTAGCATTGAGTGGTACATTTATATTGAAACCTTGGCCATCACCATTACCAGTATAGTCCCAATCACTTTGACGCAAATTGGGCCAAAACTGTCCATGTTCATAACGATGAATAGAAAAATACAACACTCTAGAAAAATTAAAACTTCTGTCAAGATAAAAATTCAWATAATAATAAAAATTTAAATTTTACCTTGGATCATCATAAAACATTTGTTGTGTAGCTTGTCCATGATGAACATCCCAATCAACAATTAAAATTTTAGATACTGAATAGTGACGAAGAACATATTCTGCAGTTATAGCTATATTGTTAAAAAAACAATAGCCACAAAATTCTGATTTCATAGCATGATGTCCAGGAGGTCTTAAAAAACAAATCAGACTTATAACAACTCATAAAGAATAAATATAATATAATAWTTCTTACCTGATAAAAGCCATTCCATTTTGTATTTTGTTTTCACAAATTGCTTTAACAAGTTCTATTGAACTACCTGTAGCTAACAAAGACTGCTTATACGTTGACTAAAATGCAAATATAATTTAAATTCTATGCATGATTATTTGCAAAATTAATATTTCTATACAAAATAATATAATACAATAATACATTCAACTAATTCATTGTATATATATATATATATATTGTTTTTTTTATATACACTAAAACTTAAGTTAACTTACCGGATGAAAGTAAATTGCATCAAATTTAGAAGACAATGTTTGTAAAAGATCAACTGATTGTATGTCATCAGTAGATTTTAATATGTCTATTATATTTTGAGAATGTTTCATTAATAACTCATCATTAGTAGCATTCCGACCTTGTATTTTAATACATCTTTCAATCAATCCTAACTCATTACACCTGTTGAAATTTTAAAATATAGCAAATAAAACAGTTTTTATAAATTATCTACCTAAGTTTACCTTTTAATGATGGATTCATATCGTTGAGGATTTTCTGGATAATTAACATCCCAAGCACACAAATGATTAGAAAACTGATTGTCATAGATAATTCCAGTACTTTTAATTGATTTGTCAATAAAACTTCTAGCCTGAAAAAAAA